TCTTCCGAGGCGAAGTGGATCTCCTGGCTGCCTTCTTCCTCTTCTTGGAAGGAGACCTCTTCGCCTTGCTGGCCTTGGCTAGGCGGAAAGAGCCGGAGGCACCAACTCCTTTGGTCTGCTTGAGGACTCCAGTGGCCAGCAGGCGCCGAATGGCCAGCCTGATCTGGACGTCGGCGTTCTGGCCCACCTTGTAGTGGCTCTTCACGTACTTCTGGATGGACTGCCGGGATGAGCCGCCGCGGCTCTTGTCGGCCCGGATGGCTGCCGTGATCATGTCCGAGTACGCAGGGTGGGCTGCCGGCCTCCGCGCTGACCGGGCCCGCTTGGGCTTGGTGGCCGAAGCCGGTGGCAGTGGGATCGGGCTGTCGCTCATGGCGAGTGCTTCGTCCCGCGACGGCCCGCTATGTCCTCACGGCTGGAAGCGTGTCCCGCCCGGCCTGGGACCCCCGGCCGTGGGCGGGGAGAGGCTGGGAAGGGAGCGGTGGGTGGGTGAAGCCGCAGCAGAGCCAGTGCCGCCCTGCCCGCCGGTGCCCCCGCCGGTGCCTCTGCGGCCGCGCCCGCCCCGGGCTCCCTTTAAAGGCGCGGTGCGGACCGCGGGGAGGACTGCCCCGCGCGCGCCACCCGCCGCCCGTGTCCCCGCGTGTCCCCTGCCACGCCCTGACCCGAGCCACCGGGAGGGACAGGGAGGGGGACACTGCGGAACAAATAAGAGTGTTTGGGGGAACAAATGGTGGGGGACGAGGAGGGGCACTGGTGGGATCAGCGGGGGAAGAGCGAGGACTTGCTCTTAGTGGGGCAACTCAGGTACAAGGTGAATTTTGAAGGATATTGTGTAGGGACAAAGGAGGATACTGGGGGGGACTTTGGGGACGCTGGTAAGACAGGGACAGGCATGCCAGGGATACTCAGAGCAACACCAAGAGATGCAGAGGGACGCTTAGGGAGGACACGGGGTTAGGGAGGGACATTTAGGGGCAACACAAGGAGACACGCTGGAAAAATATCAGGGGACAAGGAAAGAGACTGTGGAAGATATTAAGGGGGCAAGAAGGGACACTGGAGAAGACAGTGGGCATGGCACCAAGGAGAAAAGAGGGAACACTGGGCACAAGACAGCTCAGCAGCAATACCCCCATGGCCCAGTGCCACTACTCCCTGTTCTGCCCCTTTGCTCTCCACCTTTAGGTGCTTTAGGAACACCAGCGCAGCCCTTGCACATGAATGGTGAGGTGTCACAAATAACAGGCTGTGTCCTTGTCTTGGGAGACACACACAGCCCTTAGTGAGGGGACAGAGCGGGGACATAGTGGCAATCAGCCATCCTTTCCCCGCTGGGTGAGCGGTCGGCTGTTCCTGGGAGATTAAATATAGCCACTATCATTATCTTGCCTGCAGGATTCAGATGATGGTTCCCCTTATTTTTTAAAAACATGCGGGTGCAGCCACCTGGTGCCCATCAACAAGCCATGCTGGGCTCAGAGGTGAACCAAACCTCCCAGTGGTACAGTATAGCCTTAAAATAAACAGAGAGCCCCTCTCAATAACCTCTGTGTGCCCTGGGTGTCCAGGGCCATGAAAACCACCAGCCAGGGACACAGAGAAGTATGCATCAATAAAACATCAATATTGATACATAAATACAAACATAAATACAGAATTTAAATAAAAGGAATAGTAGAAATTGAGATAATAGAAATAGAATTATAGGATTGTTTGGGTTGGAAGGGACCTTAAAGATCACTCAGTTCCAATTTCCCTGCCATGAGCAAGGACACCTTCCACTAAACCAACTTGCTCAGAGCCCCATCAAGCCTGGCCTTAAACACTTTCAGGGACAAGGCATCCACAACTTCTCTGGGCAACCCATTCCAGGGCCTCATCACACTCACAGTAAAGAATTTATTCCTAATATCTAAACTTTCCCTCTTTCAGTTCAGAGCCATTCCCCCTTGTCCCTTGTCCCATCACCACATTTAGATAGAAATAGAAATCTTTGGTAGCTGCTCCTGTGTTATGTGAAGACGTGGCCTGAGAGAAGACATTCAGGCCCCCGATACAGATGGAAGGACCAAGTGCGTCTCCTTGAGCCTTCCTCCCTGATGGAGTTTCTTCACATGCTCTGTTCCATTTGGGCCGTGGGAAAGGTTCTCAGCACCTGCAAACCTTTTGATTTAATTAGGAGCAAACTGCCCCTAATTGTGGAGAGGAATACCCACTCTCCTGCCTCCCTTGGGGTTTGCTTTTGCTTAAGACCTAATACATAAATGGCTCTCCATCCCATATGGAGCGCACGGGCAGGGAGCTCTGGTGGCCACTGTACAACACTTGGAGCGGCCGAAGGACCTCTCATTTTCCCTATCCCGGAATAAACCGCCGGCGCTGGCTGCCTGCACGTAGGCAAAGCCAGGCACACAGATAAGGCACCATCTGCTTTTATTTGCATCCAAGCTGGTAACCGTCTCGAGCGGCTCGCCCACGCGCCAGGCTCCCAGGGGAGACGAGGAGGGTTTAGGAATTGGCCCCCAGGGTTGGCACACACAGCACCACGGGCTGCCTGCAGAGCCTCTTCCACTAAAGTCAAGTCCTGTGATCCCCCTGTCACACCAGCAATAGAAACAGATTCGGCCCCTACATATCTTGATGGGATTAGGGTGCACTGTGCACCAGTGTCAACCAAGGCCTCATATTTTCGTGGTTCTGATGTGCCAGGCCAACGAATCCACACAGTCCAAAAGACACGGTTTTCCCTAGCCTCTACCTGGCTAGAGGCAGGGCCCCTCTAAGCCTGGTTATCCTTCTTTTCTTGGGTATATGTCTTGGAGGTTCCTTCAAGGGAGTCAGACATGTCATCATCATACTTGTCAGTTTGACTACAGGCAGCGATTATCAACCCCGTGCAGAGCTGGGGAGGCAAAGGCGGGGGGGACAGGTGGCAGGGAGGGACATGGCAGATGCTTCACCTAATTTTGGCCACCTTAGGGGGTCTAATCTCAACCCTTCACCTGGGCAGCTCCTGCAGCTGATCCAGGCTGCTCATCCTCCTCCGGCGGGTGCCGCTGCTGGCAAACAAACACGCTCTCCCCCGTGCATGGAGGTTCTGGCCCTTTCATCCAGACTAGATCCCTAATTTTTCGCCACTCAAACTAAGGGGAAGATCCCGTGCCCCCAGCTGACTCACTGGAGGGAAGGCACACAGGTGGTCACAGCTCACAGGCTGCTGCTGGCTTTGCACAGGGGGGTAACCTGGTCAAGGCAAGCCCCCAAGCACCCCACCTGATATTGGAATGCACCCCTTTAACCTCACACTGTTTTGACCATCCATCTTTAACATGAACTGGTCGGGGCTGAGAGGATGAGAGGATTTTCCAGACCCTGGCAAGATGTCAGGCCTGGAGGTGGAAGGCAGATGCTGCCAAGCAATGCAACCCCTGCTGCCTCTGGGAAGCAAGTCCAGCACTTCTGGCACCCCACTGCAGGCAGCACAGGGAACTCATCCAGAGGAAAGAATTATTCCCATGGGCACATGTATCACCATGGCCATCTTGGGTTCATGCCTGTATTTTTGGCCACAGGAACCTGCCACCATGCCCAGGATGGGGTGGGTTACCCCCTGCACCCACTTTTCTCCTCAGAATTGCTACCCAACTACTCCAAGCCTCCTGAACCTCCCCTTTCTGGCATTATTCTGCAAATATTGGGAAATCCCACATCTCCAACAAACCCCAGAGGACAGAGCCTGGCAGAAGAATCCTCTCTGTAATCCTGTTTACCTTCTCCTCCCTGTCTGCACTGAGTTCAACCAGACCCCATGGGGATTTACACATTTCCAGCTGCAGATTTTGTCTTAAATGGTCAAACCACGTCCACTGTGGATGTGCTACGGATCCATCGGGTAACAGCCCCTGCCTTGTAGGGGCAGGACAGCTGTTCACAGACCTTTGAGAGCACCAGGGCACTTCTGGCAATAAATGTCAAAGATAAGATTTCATTTTACCCTGTTTCCATTTCAGAGAGACTCAAAATCCCCAGCAGCGGGACTTAGTCTTGGTGGTACTTGGATCCAAGTGCTTCTGTGCTTTTTTAAGAGCAAAACAGGGAAACTAGCTGAGGTTCCAGCTGTGCTCATCAGAGTTTCAGCTCTGAGTCCCCGGTGTGCAATGCAGTGTGGTCAGCCCAGCATCAAGCCACTCAGCCTGGCCATTTCTAGGGGCAGAGCAGGCTTGAAGGATACAAATACATGGCAAAGGGACATTGTCCCTGACTGCTGGACTGATTGCCACTGTTTTAAAAGATTTATGGGTTGTTTTTTAAGGGCATGCTCCTTATGTGAGCTGGGGTGCTGGCTCATATGGTGATGCACAGCTGTGGGTTTTCCCTGTGCTTGAGGCTGGGATGTTTCTCACAGCCACAATCCAGCTGCAAGCAAGTGGATGGGGTACAAGCAGCGCTTTGGGATGTTTTTTTGGGCTCTGCCAGCCATCATGCCTGTCACCGATGGGTGTTTTGGTCATCTACTCTCCTGGCCACTCTTCCCCCAGCCAGCTGCCCTGCTCCCAGGAGATAAGGATGTGGAGATGGCGGGGTGAGCGTATCACCCCGACACAGGCGAGACAGGGTCTGCCTGATTAACGCCGTGCCAATTTTGGAGGTGGCGTCCCCCATCACCCCGGGATGAGGGGATGATCCTACCCTGCTGGGGGCTGATCTGCAGCCACAGAGCCTTGAGGAGGGGCAGCTCCACCACATGTCAGGGGCACACACATTTTGCCCGTGCTTACGCCACACATTTATCGGGCTGAGCAGCCCTCGACAGAAAGGCAGAAAAAAACAACACACCATCCCAACAAACCAACCCAAACACAAGATACCAAACTATTCAGGGAAGGGATGGGTGAGCAGGGTACTGAGCACTATGCAAAGAGCAGTGTGCAGTTCACCCTTGCTTACCCTCTGCTTGCCCCCAGTGCCCCACTTTTGGGAGTTTCCTCCCCCAAGAGCAGGCACAACTATGCAGACTGTTGTTTGAGTGGTTGTTTTTTCTAAAAAACACACATGGCCCACAGCACTGAGCCCTGAACCATTTTCCCCCTTTCTGTTTTGGCTCCTAGAAATTCCCATGGCAAGACCAAGCTCTGCAGCCTGGAAACCAACTGCCCTGAGCTGTTCTCTCACCTCTTGCCAGCCCAGCACCACAAATGCCAAACCCTCACCCCATTCCAAATTCGATGGCAACAGCCATGTCCAGCTGGGAGGCAGAGGGAAAAGCCTGGACCTTGGGCGGGACAGGGACAGAAGGGTTTCTAGGCCAGAGGCAGGAGGCCAAAACGATCAACAGTGAGCTCTGGTGCTTGACAGGTGTAGTAGGGAGCTGAGCTCACTGCTTGGACTCTTGCACCATCCACTGGGTTGCCCAGGGGCCTCGTGCATGTCACTAAAATCTGACACCAAATTCTACCAGAATTCGTGACTAACAAAGCCATCTGCCTTACCTAAGGAAAGTAATTCCTGCAGCACTTCCCAAGAGAAGGGCAGGCCTGCACCCTCTTATCCTAGGGGATGCCAATACCATGGCAAGGTGATCACATCCTGAGCAAAAATGTGCCATCCTAATACCCTTCATTTCAGCTGCCACCACATCTGTCACCTCCATCCAAAAATCCTCCTTGACCCCTTTGTCTTTCCTTCTTCCTCCAGCCCCAGCATGTGACCACAATTAGATCCCTTCCGTAATTGCCAGCACCCTCTCTGTAGAACAACAGCTCCTGTTCATATTGGGATGGGGCTGAATGAGTAGTAGTCACCCCCAGGTCATCCATCCTGACAAAAAAGCAATATGCTTCACACAAAAAACAGGAGGAAGAAAGCATTTAAGATCTCTGTCATCTCCCCAGGATCTCTATATACTGTTGACTCTGCCGGCAATTTGCAGTGCCATGTGCCCTTCCAATACTGGATTTACTAAATGCAGCCCAGGCTCAGCTCTTCCTCCATGAGGCACAGGGTCCACGTGGAATTTTGGGAGCAGTGCGGCGGAGCAGATTATTTCCCCCCTCAAACCCAAAGCTGGGGCAAACTGCTGGATAACAGCACTGCAAGGCTCCTCTCACTCTCTGGCCAGGGGTGCTCCTGCTGCTTTCCCTCACCAAATCCTAAAGAAAGGAAGCAGCTGGTTAGTATACACCAAAACCTTGAAAAATCACACACACCCACACCCCCCCTCTCACCACTGGATTAGGGCCACATGGCAAGACTTCTTCTCAAGAAACACATTTTTCTCAGCAAAAGGGGAAGATTTTATTAATTTAAAAGTTGAAGGGCACAGCAGAGCAGCAGCAGCTGCCACTTTGGGGAGGTTGGCTCGGGCGGGTGCAGTAGCAGCCTCACAGCTCCTCTTCCCCAGAAAGGAGAAGCCCCGTGGCTCTGGGCTCCTGCCAGTTCAGGTTCTTGCAGGAGCCAAAAGGGCAGTCACGGAGAGAGAGCTCGATCATGCGGACTCTTGCCAAGGTGTCCTCTTTCAACCATCTCAGGCAAGCACATCCATGGCAGACTGCCCCGGCGGTTCCCTCCTATGGCTTGCGTGTCTTCTCCGCGGGTCCCTGGGGGTGGCGCGGGGAGGGGGAGCATGGTCCTTGCCCTACATCCCAGGGGGACCATTGGAAGAGAGGGAATATGTGCCGAAGGTGGCTGTGTGTGGCCAGGAGAAACTGGGCTAGGAAAGGGGGGGGAAAAAAACAGGTTCTCTTTTTCAGGTTAGAAAAATGCTGGTGATGTGGTAAAAGTTTTTCTCCTCCTCTTCCCCTTCTTTCCACGGGGGAAAAAATTCCTCTATAAAATATAATTTTCACATATAAAATCCTGAAGAAGGTGCATGTAAGGAGCCAGTCCAAACAATGTGCTCAGGTATGCAGGCAAAAAGGGTTTCATCAAAAACAGCTTTGCGAGGGGAAAGAGGAGGTTTGGGGGTGTGTGGGATTCCTTGCCAAGGTGGTAATGGGTGGGGATTCAACCTCCCTCTCCTCACAGGTGAGGAATGGAGCAAATACAAAACAAGAACAGATAACAAATGTAGAGCAGACCTAGAGAGAGACAAAACCAGAAATGGTTTAGAAAGATTCCAGGGAGCGCAGAAATGCCATCCCCTCAGCTCCCTGGGGAGATGGCTGGCTGGTGCCCCGCTACAGACCCACTCATCTCAGCACCCACCAGCGAGCACTGGTGGAGCAGGGTGAGCCCCATCCAAGCAAGAAGCAGGAGCACTCTGGACAACAGGATGCCCTCATTCCTGTCACCCTGCTCACCCCATCGGTGGCAGAGATGCCTGCAGGTGAGCTCCAGGGAGATGGGCTGGGTCTAGTCAGTCCTGCTTTGATGCAGACCTAAAATTATCGTGCTGTGATAGGGAAACCAATTCAAAGGTGAAGGGAGCAGAGCCACTGCCTACACAGGGGAAGTGTAACTTCCCACGCTGTCACCCAAGCCACGGGGCCAAGGCCAGCATTTGCCTGGCTCCCACAAGCAGCCTGGCTGAGCAGTGATTGGTGCTGGCTGCATCAAGAGCACCATGAAAAGGGGGCTGGAGCCCTCGGGAGAACATCAGGAACAACAGGAGGGCCAGCAGTGCCGGCCAAGAGGATGCGAGAAGCAGAGAAGGATGAGTTTAAGCCTTAAGTTTCAAAACTGAGTAGAGCGGGAGAAACTGGCAGCTTCCACGCCCCTGCAGCAGCCAGCCTCAGCCACCTGCACCCACAGGAGACATCCCAGCTTCCCCAGGCTCACCGCTACTTGCTGTTGCACAGCGACTCCTTCTCCTGTAGAGCCGCCATGGCCAGGCGCAGGTGCTCCTTCAGCTGCTCGATCTCTCGCTCCGAGCGCACCTTGATGTGATTCAGCTCTGCATAGACATCTTGGTATTTCCCTGAGGCGAATCTTTTGTCCTGCCAGGGAAGGGAGAGGGGTAAGGCAGGTTGCAGGGCTGATTTTAGGGAGGGTGGCAGCAAGGTGAGCCCAGCAGAAGAGTCAGCAGGTGAGGAGGGGAGAGCTAGCCCTGGGTTTGAAGCCTGTCCCAATCTGGGCCAGGCAGAAACCATTCAGAAGAGGAGCATGGAGGTATCACTTTGCAAACACCAAGCCAGGGAAGAACGCAGAGACACTGGTCCCACAGCAGCAGGGATCTGCAGCACCGGGTTGAGGAGGTAGTGTGGGCTTTACCACGGCTCGTGTGCATGTGGGGCAGCCACGTGGGAAACATAACCCCACCAGGGATGCAGGCCACTGGGAGAGCTGGGTGCAGCTGCTTATATGGCCAAAAACTAATGTAAGTTATAAACTCCTGGAGCATCACTGAATTCCAAAGCCTCTTTCAGGCTCCCCTTTGGCAGAGGTGTTTGAAAATTCCTCTGAAGGAGCTGCTGCCAGTGGAGGGAGCAGCACACCCAGAAACGGTGCCCAAGGAAACACATCCACTCAGAGAGGGGACAACTAGAGGAAGCAAGATGCCAGGCAGCCTTCATCCAGATTTTCCACTTGCAGAAGGCAGCCTTGTCCATACTTGTGTGCATACATCTGGGCAAAGCAGCAGCTAAGTCTCTGTGACTCTTCCCTTGTACAAGGTCGGTCTATGCCAGTCCGTGCTGTTGGAGCTGCTATGTGCTCTGCAGTCAGCAAGGACAAGCAGTACAGGTGACAAGAGGCTTTGTCTTGAACAGCCCATCAAACCCAGCCAAACCCTGCTGTTATGCAGCCCTGCTGCTTCCCTCCCTTCCCTCTACTGCTCTCCCCCAGTTGCTCCCAGAAAACACCGACCTTTTGCATCATCTGCAGCTCCTCCCGGAGGCACTGCACCTCCTTCTTTACGTACTGAAGCTCATTCTCCTTCACCCGCAGCAGCACCTGGGCCAGAGAAGGGGGAGAGGAACCAGAGGTGACTCAAGAGCCACCGCCTCGGAAAGGCCGGCAGGCCCTGCCGCAAGCGCGGCGGTGGAAAAGGAAGGAAGGGCCAGAAGGGCTGGGGCAGGAAACGGCGCAAGCAGCCCGAGAGAGCGGCGGAGGGGAGGCTTGCGTTCTGCTTCCTGCACCGCTCCATTCCTCACCCCCCCTCCCACTTGCTCCAAGCCAAAGCCATCAAGAGGAGAAGACCCCCGGGACGGGAGGGGATGGAGGCAGCGGGGCAGCCAGGGGGAGCCCCGTACCTCCAGCTCGCAGGAACTCCGCTCATTGTTGTGCGAAGCGCGGTCCCCAGAGCCCCGCGATGAAATAAAGCTCCGCAGCTTCCCGATCTCATCCGAGAGGCGGGTCTGCAGCTCCTGCAGGCAAAGCCAAAAGACGTCAGAGTAGCCATGGGACAGATCTCTTACTGTCCTGACCATTCCATCTTCATGGCAGCCCTTGTACAGCTTAGAGACCATGCTGTAACCCCCCGTCCACAGGTAATGGCATCCAGCAGAATACACTCGCCATATATAACACCACAGTTAAGACAGCCTCTAACTCTTAATCTTTTTCTTTCTGATGATACACAATCTCAGAAGGGGAGAAATATGAACAAATATGGGAGCTTTAACAGAGGGGCTGTGCTGTGTGAGGGAGGAACATGCTCCAGTGCGCCTCTCTGCTGGTAGGAAAGCCCTTCTCTTGCCTGATTTTTCTGGAGGAGGTCCTTCCCCTCCTGCTGACAGCGCTCCAATATCTGCTCCCGCTCTTCCGCCTTCTGGGTGAGCTCCCCGATTTCCAGGCACTTTTGGGAATACTGCTCAGAAAGCACCTGCAGTTCCCGCTTCAGTGACTCCACGTCCAACCTGCCAAAGAGGCACCAGCTCATCGCTGCCCCAAAACCCTCGCCAGCTCCTGGCCCCTGCACATGAGCGTGGTGCTTCTTGGAGCCCCGAGCCATGCAGAAGAAATGGAGCAGCTTTCCATAAAGAAAATAGAGGGGAAATAGCTATAGGTGTGAGGGAGGGGCTATAGGGAAAAGAGTCAAGCAGGGGACAAACCTCCCTGCCCCACTGCTGCAGCAGCCCTGGGAGCCACTACTGAGCACCCACTAGCCCTGAGGAGGGAGCTGGGGAAGTGGCAGGAGGAAAAGCTCAGGGCTAGAGCTGAAAATGGGATGTGGTGACAGCAGCACAAGGCAGCATCATTGGACAAGAGGACTGAGAGAGATCCTTTCTTACTGGTGCTGCTTCTGGAGGGCTTCTGGGAGCGAGCTGCATTGCTGGAAGCTCCGTGTCCTGCCCAGCTCCTTATTCATCTCCTCCCGGTGGGCTTTCTTCAGTGCCTCAATGGCTGCAGAGAGGGACAATGAGAAATGGGGGGATCAGGCTGTGCCAGCTTCATGGAAAACACACCAGAGAACTGGCTAAGCTCTCGCCACTGCAGGCTCCCAGATCCATCTCTGCAGACTCCCCCTCTTTCCCTTCTTCCCTCGGGGTATTCCCCACCGTCTCCACACTCCAGGATCATCATGCTGCCAAGGGGACTGACACAGGACACTGTGGGAGCTCTCTACCACTTCTTGCCCACCTACAAGAAAGCGCTGGGCCCCTCCCAGCCATCCACAGAAGCGTGACCCCGTTTCCTTCAGTATCTTTACCACCCCATCTCCACCAGCACCACAGGAGCAAAAGCACCAAAGCTCACGCTCCAAGGAGCGCCAGCCTCACACCAGTACAGTCCACAGTGTGGCTCCAGATGACTGGGACGACTGGCTTCTGGCAAAAGACATTGGGGAGAGGCAGGAGGGACCCAGCTGAGCAGGGGAACAGCCTGAACAGGTGTTTGCTCTGACCTGCTGCCGTTGCCGCCGCCTCCTCTGCCAGGAGCCGCTCCTTCTCCTGCCGCAGCCGCTCCAGCTCCCGCTGGTGGTGCCGCTGCAGCTCCTCCATCACTTGCTGGTGGGATGACTCCATCTCAGCCAGGCTGCGCTCACAGGCCTCCTGTTGTGAGGAGGAAAGGAGGGCTGAGAGACCAGGAGGGAAGAAGGAAGGGCTTGGGCCAGGACAGGCACCTGGCTGCAAGTCCAGGGACGTTTTGAAAGAAGTGAGACTACTTCTTTCCAGGAGGGTCTTTTCCTTCTGAAAGTGAGGTGGTGCTTTAATCACTGAACACAACCATTTGATGGGGACACACATCTTGCAACCCCACTTTGTGCTTTACAGAGGAAGAACGTTCCTCTAGCTCTTAAAACTAAAACAGCAAGACAGGAACAACCCTCTTGGTCCAAGAGCTGGGGATAACATGCCCGACACCACAGTCCCAACCCTACACCAGGCTGCACTGCCTGGAAGGGATCAACAGTGAGAACTGCATCTCAGTATCTGCCTTTTAAATGAAGCAGTGTCCCTGGAATCAATGGAAACCGAGCCTCCTCTCCTGAAAAGTGACACCCTGCACTACCCTGTGACATGAGGGAGGTTGCCAAAGAGCCCTCCTTACAGCCTAATGATTAGGGATCCTCCTCACACAGCTCTCCCTCCTTTCTGATGGCTCCGAGACCAAGGGAATGGTTCTTTCCATGCTGAGTGCTATGGTTAACTCGAGTCAGAGCAAAGCAAAGAGCTTCCCCCTCTGGATGCTGGCAGCACCTCCCTGAGCTCTCAGGAAGGATTTGTTCACCAACAAACTGTGCCATTATGATTAATAGCCTGGGCCTCAAAGACAGCTAGGAAGTCATCACATCCCCCAACAGCTCCTTGCCATCCCATTCCTTCCCCACTAAGGCTCATACGAAAGACACTGGAACATTCACACTGTTGGGTGAATGCAAACCCTTCCTGGCTACTCCTTTCTGCTGTGATGAGGGAAGCTGGGAAGCTTCACAGAACAGAGGAAAAGGTGAAGAATCAGTTCGGTGAACTATCCACGGACCAGCTGCAACCCTTGGCAAACAGAGAGAGCGAATCCTTTGGGGAAAAGCCAAGTTTGGTCTCAGATGTGAAATGCTGAGCCAAGTTATTAGGAAGATAAGGAAGTTCCTCCCCACTGCTTTTGCTTTTCTTTTTGACCATAAAGAGGCCTGTAAGCTATAAATATTAAATCACGATAACACAGAGACTGGTAAGTGTCTGAGCTGAGTGCTACAGGGCTTGTGGGTTTCTTTATCTGTGCTAGGTACAGCCAGCCCTGTGGAACAGACTTCACCAGCCCCAACTTCCTGCCCCGCCAACCCCCTCTGCCCCGGTATCTTCCACCACGTAAGGTCCATCCTGAAAACCCCACTCCATGGTCGAACGGCAGCCTCCACACAGGAAATCCCAGCGGGATGTGACCCTGCTTGTTTTGGATGAGTCCACAAGAGGGGAAAATAAATAAACAAAGAGAAGTGAGAGGATGAAGCATGAGCAAATTCTACTTTGCTGGCTCTCCCACATGCTGTCCCAGCAAATGAATGGGCTGTGCTGTCAAAGTGACCTTCAGGGCTCGGGCTGTCCCCAGGGCCTGACTGACTGCTTTCAACAAGACACCCGGGAGCCCCAGTTAGCAAGAACCACATGTGGTGAGCAGCAAACCACCAGGGAATGATCAGAGGCTCAGCAGGAAGCTGCTGACCCGCTCCTGACCTGGAGGATGGCTCACCCCCACAGCCCGGGACAGCACTGTGCCCACATGCAAAGCGGAACACAGATCCTGCACCTCTCCCCAAATTATCCTTCTCTCCCTTTATAACCCTGGCCCCTTTAAGGCCAGGCAACATGCACCAGCCTTTATGTAATTAACATTGATTAGAAATGGGCCCAGTTAGGGTCACCATGGCAACCCAATGATTAGCGATACCTGCCCGGCAATAAGCTGTGTGCCAGCATTTCCCAGTTTGGTCCTGGGACTGACCCCCCCAAGGCCCGGTCAGGTCAGGCACTCTACTCACCTGTGAGATGTACCCTCGGGGCACGTGGCTGTCCCCCTGGGATTTTGCTGCCTCCCGAAGGCTCTCATTTCTGGCCCGGCACGACTCCAGCTGTGCCCGCAGTGACTGGATCTGTGCCAGCGAGGACAGAGAAAGATGGTCAGCCAAGGGTGGAAAAGCACCACGGCCTGACCGATGTGCCACATCCAAACCTTGGGCTTAGGGATGGCGAGGACAACACACGGCCAAAGGACGCCTCTGCTTCCCCAGCAGCCTGCCAAGAGACCAAACTGGCAAAGCCAGCCCCAGCCTGGTTAGTGCCAGTAATGAAGGGAGGAGATATTCCAGCTTTCAGAAGTGGGTCCATGCTGGAGGAAACCACCAGTGCATGGCTTCTTTCAAAGGCCAGCAGGTGAAGCCCTTGCAGGCTTGGGAATAGCCAGGAAAGAAAGGCTGTGAACATGCTCTCATGAAACACAGACTCCACACAAGTAGTGCCACCAAATAAACCATCCTGGACCAAAACATGCTCTGGGGAACCTTTGCAGATGTGTGAGAGCTGGCTTCTAGCTTTGCATTAGTAGGTTCCAAAAGTTTCCATGCACTCCAGGAGCCAGAAAGAACAAACATCTCCCTGCACCTCTGCCTAGCTCTTCTGCAGAGCCACAAGTACCACATAAAGGGGCCACCAGAATCCCAGCTCTACAGAGGAGGGGTGCTCTTACCTCCTTTTTCAGCGCCTCATTGGTGTCTCCCTGGCCCCCCTTGCTTTGGTTCAGCAGTGTTGTCAAAGGCACTCGCCGCAAGTCCTTCAAGGGCAGGCGCTCCAGCTCCAGCCACTTCTTCTCTATCTCCTCATTCAGACGGATCCGCTGGTCCTCCGAAAGCGGAGGAGCGGGGAGGTCCTGCTCCCCGGCCTTGCGGGAAGGCTCTCCTGCGGGGCCATCGCTGTTTGGGACCCTGCCATCGGGCGTCTCGAACCATTTCCGCCTCTCCTCTGAACGGACGGCCAGATCCCGCTCCAGCTCCTCGTACTTGGGAGTTCGGTCAGAGATCCTCAAGCTCCCTTTTGTCCTCTGCAGGGACCCCTGATTTCCAGGGTCTTGTGGCAAGGGGGACAGCTCCACATAGTCAAAGGCATGGCGCTGCCCATCTGCTTTCCAGTGACTGCCCTTGGAGCTCCCCTCGGAGCCTGAGCCCGGCCGCTGCTGCTCCTCCGTCCGGAGTGCGCCTTTCTGGGGAACGCAGTTACGGAAGTTCTCCTTGTCACAGTCAGGGAGCCTGAAAGCAGAGCAGGAACTGGTGGACGAGAGGCACCATGTGGGAAAGGATGCCAGCAGAAGCACTGCCAACTGCTCAAGGCTCAGACCCTCACTCAGCCCAGCCTTACAAAACCCCACTCTGAGTGTAGAGCTGGGCCTGTAGCATCCCATCCCCCAGGGAAATGGATTTCTTCAGCAAGGATGCAACCTGGTTCCAGCTATGCTGGTGGAGAAACCAGTCTAAACTAATGTGGTGAGGTAAAAAGAAAGGGAGGCTCTCATCATCATCAGGTTCTCAACCCCTGTCACTGGCTGGTATAACCAAGCCACTTTCAGAAGGAACAGAGTGCCGGGCTAATCTGGGAGTGGTGAGACTTCCAGAGGGGCCTTCCTTGTGCCTGCCAGTCAGGGTAGAGGGACAGCAAGGGAGAAGAGGACAAGCAGTACTGAGCAGCTCTTACTTGGTGACGTCTGGAGCGCTGACTGGGCGCACATTCTTCCTCAGGGCCTCGATCCAGTTGCGCCGGATGCCAGAGGTCATCGCTGACAGGGTGAAGACGGCATCTTTCGTCTGCAACAGGGAGGTGACAGAGGCCCTCTCAGCACCCAGTGGATGTGCAGCAGCTCCCTCTTGCTCCCTGAGATCCACATACATACACCAGTGCTGGGCTGTTTAGAAAGGCCACCCTCTGTCTCAGGCTCCTGGGGACAGGTGGAGGGGTGGGAGGGGTGTTTCAGGGGGATCCTTCATGAGACCCTCTCCAAGCAAAGGCAAAAGAAACCTTGCTGGCACACTGGGCTGAACATGCATTGGTGCAATCCAGCTGCTCAGCTGCCAGGACTCAGGTGCCAGCAGCTGGGCACAGGGAAACCCAGACCATGAAGTGCCCATCCCTGCACACCCACAGAAATACCATTTCTCATGCTGCCTTAGCAGACACTTCCTGCTGCTACAACAAATAGCCAAGGACAGAACTGTACTGGGGTCGGGTCCAGGGTACAGGTTGTCACTCCGGGCACGGTCAGTCAGGTTACATCGAGATCTGCAGCGCTCACCACTCCCCCCCCGCAGCTGTGGAAAAGTTGCCTCGGCCAACATGTCACTGAGACACTCCTGGCATTTAGCTTGACTCCTGGACTGCCTCCAGTACAGCCTTCAGCCAGCCCTGCAAAGCCTCCTCCTCCTCCTCCTTCCTTCCTCTGAAGGCAGGCAGCCCTGATGTCCCAGAGCACTGCCGCCGATGTGTCAGAAAAACAACCTTGGGCCACCATGCTTGCACAAGATCTGTACAAATTGCCTCTCAGCATCTCGGCACAGGGAGGGAGCACGCATTCCCACCCCGTGTCCCTCGGCGCTGCCGCTCCGTACACGCGGTGCCGGACACTCACGTGTATCTGGAAGCCGTAGTTGCGCTGCACCGCGAACTCTGTCACATCCGTGCAGGAACGGAGGTCGATTTCTCCGTCAAGGTCATCAGCCTGCAAGCACAGCCACCCGCTAGGACATCAGTGCTCAGCCAGCTTTGAAAAAGGCCACCTCTGCCTTCATCTCACAGCTCCCTGGGAGCCAGGCTCAGCTCTTTGAGAACCAGGCTCAGCTCCCCAGCAGAACATGGCCTCTTCCAACCCAAGGGCCGCCAGCAGCGTGGATGGAGAGCACCCCGGATACCCAGCCACAGGACCAGCCCTTCTCCCCACCTCCCACCACTGACAGTGCCATCAGGCTTTGCCACCCTGCCTTCATCCTCTTCATCACCCCTTGGCAGAGAGCAGCTTGGCACCTCTGCCATCTTTTGGGAGGATATGGTGCTGTTGCTTGTCCCCGGTCGCACCAGAGCTGTGCTCCTCTCCCCCTGGCCAGGAAGGAAGAAAGGGCTGGCGAAAGGCTGGCCATGCTTACCTCCTCTGCGTTCGAGTCCCGGTAATACCTCAGGCTCGAGTCGGTCAGCACGAACCAATGTTTCTTCCACTGCAGGCGCATCAGGCAGGGGGAGGGAAGGGAAAAGACAGGAGGGAAATGGATAGGCAGTTACCAGGGAAAGCGTAGGAACAAGGAGGGACGCTCTGCACTATGACCTCTCCGTCTTCTCTTCCCCCTCCTCCCTCCCAGATCCCCCTCGTGACCCTCAGCTGGGAGAGAGGCACTCGATGAACCTCTGTGTCCACACACAGAGCGAGGCACCTCCACCAAAAGTTTCCTGCTGCCTTTCCCAGCAGGAGAGACCTCAGTAAGCAAAGAGGAAGGAAATCAGCTGGCTCACTGGGGCTCTCCAGCAGCAGGGGATAGGGGAAGAGGCAGACTCTCATCTGAGGCTTACCTCTCCTGGCTCGTCCAGGATGGACATCCATCCCTTCTTGAAATTGAGAAGATCCGGCTGGAAAACAAAACAGAGAATTACTGTCTTGGAGTGGCCCCACAAAAGGGCTTTCCGTGCCAGGGGGTGGAAGGTGAGTCCCCTGTGGCAGAACAAAAATGGGAATAGCCTTTTAGGAAACTCATGGGGCTATGTGACCCTATGGCGAAAGAAAACTGGGCATAGCTCTCAGCAGCAGGCCGTCATTCCTGTAAGAGGAAGCAGCAGATAAGGGAAGAGGTTTAAAAAAAGTAAAGGAAAATATGCAGCAAAGAGGTTTCCACAAGGTGCCTCAGAGGTATTTATTCAGAGAGGGGGAGGCAGGGACAAGGAGAGTGGGCACCACCAATAAGGCTTGCCTCAGAGATGGAGGCAAAGCCACGAAGAACCAGACACGCCTTGTCTCAACCCTGGCTGTCCTCGCCCCAGAGCTATGTCCCTCTGGTAACTTCACCACCAATCATTTATCAAAAACATAGTAGCTCAGCTCTCACCAAAAATCTACAGGAGGCAATTCAACAGCTGTGAAAACACGCTGACTTTAAACGATGTGCCCCAGGGTAGAGATGAAGTCAGTGCTTGATCCTCTCCCTTCTCCCTCCAAGGTTCAACCCTCTCTGAGATTCTGAGGGTTTTTCTTTTACCCAGCTCTTTCTGCACCCTCCCCCTACAGAGCCTGCCCTCTGCCCAGACACAGTTACAAAAGATAAGGATGAAGAGAATTTCACCCAGATTACCCTGTGCCACAAAGGAGTTTCCACACACTCTCTGCCTCCTCCTAACCTCATGTTGCTGGTGCAGCATCCCAACCAGTTTATCTTCTTCCCAAGGTGGAGCACCAGAGAGCTGACTCAGGGGAACCTCTCTCCCTAGCTTTGCCCTCAGCCAAACAGGCTCCAGCTGGTCCCTCCTCCCACCCCTGCTGGCTCCCAGGAAGTTGCACCATCAAAGAATCCAGTCCAACGCCTCTTCACCGATGGAAGTCAATTTGCCAACCTGCCCCTTCTTCAGCAGCCGAACCAGGCAGGAACAGCGCTGGAGAAGTGACAGTACCAGAGCTGGACCTCCCAGAGGTCTGCCAGTCCTCTGGAAGCCACCAGCAGTCCCCACGTGTCACAACCACCAGCTGAGACAGGGCTGGGGACAAGTAGGTGGCTCAGCAAGCCGCTGGCCACTCCACATCCCCTGAACAAGCCCAGTGGCCGGCCACAGCTGCCCCACAAGCCCAGCTCCCCGGCTGTACAGCCAGGCCAAGCCTTTCCCTGCTTTCATCTCCCTGAGCTGCTGCTCCTGGGTTACACCCAAGGTTATGGGGCGGCAAGAGCCGAGTATGTGCTGGCCCACCCTGGCGCTCTGGCGATTGGTTCAAGAAGGAGCAAGGAGTCCTGCCAAGGGGAGGTCACCGCCTGCTACAGCTTCGGGCCTGGCCAGAAGTATCTGGCAGTCCTGAGCTCCCTGGGAAAGGAGGGAAACCAGAGCAAAAGGATGTGGGGAGGCTCCCGAACCTCACCTCCTGCTGAGGTGACAGGCACTGCTGGCAGCAAGGAGATGAGGGGGATTTATGCATCCCCATCAACCCAGATTTGTGGTGGCTCCACTGCTGAGAAAGCACCCCAAAAATTCATTCTTTCTTGGTGGCAGCAGCTCCACCCTTTTTCCCGTTATTCCTTCCAGTCCGGTGACCTAAGCTCCAGCTCTGAATTCAGAGTGGGGAGAGGGAAGGAAAGGACACAAAACATCAAAGTACAACCACTCCCCTCCTGGGACGCACGTGCGCTCAGCAGAAGACAGAGAGATGGGCAGGCTCCGTGGAGGCAGAAAGACAATATAGGGAGAGAGTGGGGCTGTTGTACAGATCAGCTGGGTCTCATCTTATTGAGAATTTACAATCCCAAAGCACTAGGTGCCAAAATAATGAACATTAACAGGATGCACGCCGCGGGAAAAACTGCCACGAAGTCCTGCCAGAACTGCTGCCCCCAATGCAATGCTGGGGCCAGAAAATCCCCCTGGAGGGCTTTTCCCAAGCAGGCAAACTGCAGAGGGTTTCTGCTTTCCCTGCCAGCCCTAGACACGGAGCTGCAGATCTGTAGAATTGTCTTTGAACTATTCTTGTCATAGCAGGGTCAGTACCATAAGCTGAGGCCTCAGTTGGTACACAAAGTGCTTAAAGCCACTTTTCTTCCCTTCCCCACAACCAAATCCAGTTTCCTCACCCAGCATAAAAAGCTCAGGATACCGACAGGGAAGAGCAGGGGGTTCAAACAGAACCCCTCATCCAGAGGAAACGGCCCAGCAGTGGGAGGAGGAAACATCCAGGAAAGCCGAGCTGCTGGGAGAGATCCGGGTCCCAGAGATGCAATGATGTGGCAGGATGCACCCCCGGCAAAATGCGTGGCCCTGCAGCTCGGGGCTGCAGATGGCTTGGGAGGTGGTGGCAGTGATTTTGCCCGGTTGCATCAGAGTTTTATGTCCAGCCCCACTGCTGGCCAGGTATAGAGGCACTGGAGGGGGGTCTCAGGTGGCTGGGGACGTGGGTGATACCTGGAAAGACTGGCTCGCAAGAGCAGGTTAAGGAGCGGCAGCTGCCTGCTCTGGTTGAAGAAGGGCTACAGGGAAGGTGATAACAGCCTGTAAGTATCCGAAGAATGTAAACACCAAAGAAGGAAAAGGGACAGGGTGGGAGCAAAGGAATGGCTCCTGGGTGGTACTGAGGCGCCAGGATGGAGAAGTGGAGGAGAAGAGGCTGCGGAAGGCTGAGAAAGCTCAGTGTCCGAGCTGGATAGTCAGATGTGTCCTTTCATCACCAGCCTTTGTCATCACCGTGCCTCTTGCTCTTCCCAAAAGCTCCTCAGCACTGCAGGTTCTGGGGCACCGCTTCCTCTCACCTCCGGGAGATGGTGCAAGGGGCTCTCAAGCCTCCCGGAAAGCACAATGTCTCCTTTCCTCTAAAAAGGGAACCCTCTTCATAAGGCGTGGGCCCCAGGCCAAAACACAAAGCAAAGCCGCTCCAGCTCACTTGGGTGAAAGCAGAATCACTCTCAGGCTGGAGCACGCATGCAGCTCCCGAACCTACACGTGCAGTGAGAGGAGCCAGCGGGCGATGGTCTGTCCCTTTCCCACCGCCCCCGTGCGAAGCGCCGGCGGGCACAGCCCAGCCTGTCACCTCCATCAGCCCGCTCGCGGCCGGCAGCCGCCTGTGCCAAGGAAGGTTCGCCCCAGGGCCGGGATGCTCCCTGCCCCAAACCGCATCTGTCTCCCACAGGGAGCAGGAGCTCCCCACGCCCGCCCGAGGAGACACCAATTTCCCGTCCGACTGCGGTCGTAGGTGCGGTGAGCTGCCCTGGCCTCAGCCCTGTCCACGCTCACGCTTATCGGCGTGGGGTGGTGCCCATCGGGGCCGAAGCGCCCACGGGGAGCTCTGGAGGGACCCCGGCGGTGATGGGCAAGGGAACCAAGGAAGAACCGCCACAACCTCCAGTCCCGGGGCCAGAGTCCTCCAGGGAGCGGCGGCTCCAGAGACCCCCGGGCGCAGAGACCCCCGGAGGCGGCGGCTGACAGCTGGGGTCCCCCGCCCCCTCCACGCCCCGAGCCGTCCCCCGGGCACCGCAGGAGGAATCCCCGCCATCATCGCCGGCCAAGCCCCGAACCCCGAGTCCCCACTCACCGTCATGGCGGGGGCGCCGCGGCCGGCGGGGCCGGGGCCGGGGCCGGGGTCGCGGCGGGGCCGGGCGCTGGCAGCCAGGGCGGCGGGGCGGCTTCAGCGCCCGGGCGGCTTCCGCGGCCCCACCATGCCCGCTCCGCCGCCCGCCCCCCGATCCCCGCGCGCCTCTTGCCTTTTTTCTTTTTTTTTTTCTTTCCAAAAGAAAAAAAAAGAAAAAAAAAAAAAAAAAA